CTAGGGTTTCTCCAGTAGTTATGCATGGGTATGAGAGTTGGACCATAAAGAAAGCTGAGCACTGAAGAATTGATGCTTTTGAACTGCGGTGTTGGAGAAGACTCTTGAGAGTCCCTTGAACGGCAAAGAGATCCAACCAGTCCATCTTAAAGCAATCAGTTCTGACTGTTCATTGGAAGGACTGATGCTGAAGCTAAATCTCCAATACTTTGGCCACCTGATGGGAAGAACTGACTCATTAGAAAAGACCCTGTTGCTGGGAAAGATAGAAGGCAGGAGGAGAAGTGGACGGCAGAGGATAAGATGGTTGGATGGCATCACTTACTCAATGGACATGAGTTTGAGCAAGCTCTGGGAGTTGGTGATGGACACAGAAGCCTAGCATGCTGCAATCCGTGGGGTCACAAAGAGTCAGACATGACTAAGCGACTGAACTGACTGGTCTGTATAAGGATAGTCATTAAAGCATTTCAATAACAGAAACTGGAAATAGCTGTTTTCATTACTATTGAATGGTGTTCAGTAGCTCAGTCTTATCTGACTCTTTGCAACCCCATGGACTGTAGCTCTCAGGGACTTCTGTTCCCAAGGAACTCTCCAAACAAGAGGACTCGAGTGGGGTGCCATTCCCTCTTCCAGGGGATCTTCCTGACCCAGGGATTGAACCCAAATCTCTTGTGCCTCCTGAATTGACAGGCAGATTCTTCCCCACTAGCGCCACCTGGGAGGCCCCATTGAATGGCAGAGGTTACGTAAACCTGGCAGGTTGATGGTAGGCTAAATAATGGTAGGTTTAATGGTGGGTTAAATAAACGATGATGTGTTGAGGGACGATCAGGAAAGTTGGTCCCAATAGAATTTTAAGTGGAAAAAAAATACAATTAAAAAAATACATATGGGTTGCAAACCCAAAAGATTTTGAAAATGTGCTTCTTTCTTCAGGTGGCAAAGAATTACTAAGATGTAGTTACCCTTAAGAAGGATTTGTCTACATTAAGGATTAAATGGTTCCACAATTGTTTTCTTAATAGAACTAAGGGTTGGGGAGGGGTTATCACTCTTGATTTGCTCTCTAAGTAACTCATTTTGGTGATCATTTGCCCTTTTCAGATTTTAAGAGTTAGCATTTAGTTTTAATGGTGGGTAAAATCAATGGAGTGTGTATCACTCAAAATGTTTAAAACTTAGTAGCCTTTGCCACTTTTTTTTCTTTCTTCATTAAAGAATCAGGTTCCTTTAAACATTTCAATATTTAAGTCAGCTATCAAAATCAGGAAGGAAAAAAGAAGGAAGATGGAAGTTTTCTGGTATAAGGGAAAAAAAATTGACTTTGAATATAGACTATCAAATTAAGAACTGCATGTAATTCATTTCATTAGCAAGAATAAGAGAACTTTTTACTAATACCTTCCTAATACTGCTTTAACCCAGAAAAATCTCCCTGTGGATATTGCTTCTGAAAATATCACCAATATCTAATTCAAGGGAAAAAGTAGCATGAATGTTATTGTTTTCAACCCAGGACAAAGTGAGGGGGAGGAAGAACCAACTAACCAACCACATATTTGAACACACACACACTCAGCCTCAAAACCAAAAACAAGCAAAAAGATTGAATATAAGTATCAAGGAGGTATTCTAAAAGCAGCTACTGAAATTCTAGCAATGAGATGTTAAATTACCATATATCTTATATTACAAGATCTATCAGTTTACTTAAACTAGACGATCTATACTTTTTCGAACACAAAATATCAGCAATTCATTCATACTTAACCATGCTTTCGTGAAAGCTACAAGACAGTGAATATTTTCTCTGTCCCTTTAGGAAGCGCCTCAGTCCTCCAAGTAAGCCTTCTGCAAACAAACAGACAAAACAACAAAAACCAACAATAATGGAAATTGTAGGGTGGCCTGCTTGAGACCCTCCAGATTTCTCTGCTCAGGGTCAGGCCATCCTTTTGGAATCAGTGACATCATTTCTGGACCTCACTTCTATCTTCACTGTAGGAGTTTACTTTGCTGAGTTATGTTCCCTTAAAGCTTCCCTAATAGCAGACATGATTCAATCAGATTGAAAACAGCAACACTTTAAAACCAGAGCAACCTGGGATTAGACCCCAAATCCAGCACTTGGTGGGTATGTGGTCTAAAGAGACAAGACCCGTAATTGTTCTGACATCCAGTGTTGTCACCTGAAAAATTGGCATAATAATTCCTGGGTGGATTGCAAGATAATTGTAAGTGTTAGAAAAAATACACATTGAAAAGTGTCTGGCACACAGTAGTTTCTTAATATAGAATGAGTATTATTATGATTGTTCTTTTATTATTATTTAATTAGCTTAAAGCATATTCAAGTTCCCTACTGGAAAAATATTGTCATCTAAAACACTATATAAATGTGTTTTAAAATGCTAGCTGCTAAGTATTTAAGCACAGGTAGAGCTATTAACATACATAGCATGGCAGAGGTTCAGTAAGCTCAGACACAAGTTTGAAGTAGTCCAAAGAGACTGAAGTTTAAGAGGAAGAAAACAATCAGAGGACAGGACTATGCATGCTTTATAGCATCTTTAAAATAACAGAAACAGTAACAGCTCATAGGCAGCAGGCAGTCTGCACCAGGCATCACTCTAACTGCATTGTGACATGAATTAACCATCCTAGAAATCCCATATTGTACTATCAGTGTATCCACTTCATGGATGAGAAAACTGAGTCACAGTGAGGTTTATGTATCTATGTATGATGATGAAAAAGAAGAGTAAAGGGCTTAATCTCATGAAATTCACATTACATCTAGACATAAAGACAATGGACAAACAGCAGCAACAAAAATATGTAAATACATATAATCCTGACATTATATATTATATATATATCTTGAATATTATTCAAGGACATATTGAATAAAAATTGTGCATATTTTGACAAAAAGTTAAGGTGGGGTATGGGAGAAATGGATGAACTGTTTTGTTTACATTTAAAAGGAAGAGGTAGAGATAGACTGTAAAGATGTAATCATTTGTAAGAGAAAAGAGTTTTTTATTTTAACTTTTTATTTTGTATTGGGGTATAGCCAATTAACAACGCTGTGATAGTTTCAGGTGAACTGTGAAGGACCCAGCCATATATATGTATGCATCCATTCTCCCCCAAACACCCCTCCCATCTGGACTGACACATAACAGTGTTCCCTGTGCTATCCAGGAGATCCTTGCTGGTTATCCATTTTAAATATCACCGTGTGTACGTGTCCATCCCAAATTCCCTAACTATTCCTTCCTCCAGCAACCATCAGTGCCTTTCTAAGTCTGTAAGTCTTTTTCTGTTTTGCAAGTTCATTTGTAAAGGAAAAAAAAACAAAACTAATAAATAAATCCATGCAGAAAATTATATGTTAAACAGTAGATATTTTTCAACAAAGATAATGAAAAATTACTCCTATATTATAAAGAGAGCAAACATGAGTAGATAAACAGAAAAGTACCAGGTAAAGCACAAAATGTCAAAACAAACAAGTGTCTGATCCCCGGAGCTGTGCAGGCGCCCCCCGCTACCTAGAGTAGGCAAGTCCCTAGGTGGGCCAGACCACTGGTTTCCCACAGCAAAAGTGACTCCGGTCTCTCTGGAGAAAATCAGAACACCCGAGACTCAACTGCAGAGCAAGAGCCAGGAGTTAGAATCCAGAAAATTAAGCCCAAGAAGTTTTACTCCAGAGGCTTCTGGAAGACAATGTGAATCAGACATCCTTGTCCACACCTGGGCTTTGATAACAGCGCTTCTGTGACATTATGAGAGTGGACCAGATTTGATTGGATTTACAGCTGAGAGCAGAAACAGGCAGAACTCAAAAGAAAGCAGTGTACCCGATAAATTATTATTTTAAAAGCTTAATATCACTGTTAGATGGTTAGATAGCATCATTGACTCGATCAACATGAATCTAAGCAAACTCTGGAAGATCGTGGAGGACAGGGGAGGTGGAGGTGCTGCAGTTCATGAATCACAAAGAGTCAGATACGGTTTAACAACTGAAGCACAAAAACAGCAATTAATTAAAGAGAAATAAAATAGAAGATCCCTTTGCTCATTCATTCCTTAAAAACTTATTTTTGAAAGTTGTCTCTTTGCAGGCACTGGGAATGTAGCAATAAACGAAATAGACAAAAATCCTTGTCTTCATCAAGCCCATGTTTTTGGTGGGGATAACAAAAATGATAGAAAATAAATCACATGTCATTTGACATTAGCATGAAGCGCAAGAGAAAAAGCATAGAAGGAGTTAGAGGGATCATCATGGCCAGCAAGATGGCAGAAATAACAGGTCTCAGTCAGACACAGAGTAGGCGAAGGCAGCGGAGGAGCAAAGCCCTGTGATGGTTATTTTATTGCATATCGTTGGTGGAAAATGCAACCAACACTGGGCTTTGTGCCTGCCTGTCTGTGTATGAGTCCTTCCCCACTGGGGGCCTGTGTGGGAGTTTTTGCAAATTAGTGGTGGTGGTGATGCCAGCCCCGGGACGATCGTGAGGATTACGTGACGTAATCAAGAAAAACAGCTCACGGTGACTCATGCGGCAAGCACTGGAGGTTCATTTCCATCCTATCCGTTGGTCAATTACTACAGCAAGTTTTTTTTTTTTTTTTCATTGCAATATTCATTGCTAATGAGGATAGGACAACATATCTTGGTAAGGATAAGGCATAGTTGATATGATTAAGGGGAAATTGTGTTTCAGTTAGGGTGTTTTCAGGTTTATGCAACTTGAGTATGCATGCGTGTATGCATGCATGCTCAGTTGTGCCTCTGTGTGACCCCATGGACTGTAGCCCGCCAGGCTCCTCGGTCCATAGAACTTTCCAGGCAAGAATGCTGGAGTGGGTCGCCATTTTCTACTTCAACTTAAGTATACAGACACTTGTCCTGGCCTCTGAAGTTGGAGCGCACACGAGGCCTTGTGGAATTAGAGGATCAGTGATGCTCCTGGCGGTCGTCATTGCTCCTCTGTGCCATCCGTGGTGCAGGCTTGCAGCACCGCAGGGACCCTGTATCCAGGCATGACGCTGTCTGGAATGACGCAGTCCGGAATGACGCTGTCCGGAATGACGCACTTCAATACAACAGACCAGACACATGCAACTGTACATTCCATCTAGTAAACACAATTTCAAGTTCATTCCACATGTTGCTGATAGGTTAATAGAATTATAATCATTTTTTTAATTTCCTGTTTCCTGTTACTAAAATTTTTTGATTTATGCTATTTTTGCAGAGAAATAATCATTAAGAAATACACACCCACAAATAGACGCATTGTTCGTATGTATTAGATATAGTTAGCTAGCATATCAGAGAAGGCAATGGCACCCCACTCCAGTACTCCTGCCTGGAAAATTCCATGGACGGAGGAGCCTGGTAGGCTGCAGTCCCTGGGGTTGCTAAGAGTTGGACATGACTGAAGCGACTTAGCAGCAGCAGCTAGCATATACATACCTAGCTAGCTAACTTGGGGTCACAAAACAGTCGGACATGACTGAAGCAACTTAGCAAAGCACAGCACATACATACATGCATATCTATATCTTGTTGAAATGTCTTCTTGACTAATATGATATAGAAAAACTATTCTTTTTTGTTTTTAGAAAAACTATTCTTAATAAGTATAGAAGGAATATTGCATGTTTAATATCATTGCAACTGAAAAAATAGAGGCAGAGAACAAGATTGGAATGGAATAATATATAGAAATTTTGGCAGATATTGTTAAGAAAATTATAGGTGAAAAATTTTCCTACCTTTCTAGATTTTATTAATTATATGTTATCTTTATATTGGAATATGTTGGAAGTTTAAAAAAAGTACTTAAGAAAACAAATTAGAAAGAAAGAAATGCTTATTTTAGGAATACTATAGTTTACAAATCTGGGTTCATATGCGTTTATTTCACAATAATGTCAAGTCAACTCTTTTAGTGTGAAAATAAAAGCAAGGACAGACATTACTCCCTTAAATGTTGAACATGTCATTTAACCTTTTACATGCTATAAAAACATTGGATATATAGTAATTAAAGACTTAATAGACTTAATATCTTACAAAACAACTAATTTTATTTATAGCTTCTCATTTTAGCAAGGTACAGATTTACACATAGATCTGAGTTTTTCAAGCTGAGGTCAGTGGAAGTCTGGAGTTAGCTTGGAAGCCTCTGACCAGCAGAAGTGACCAATCGGGGAACTGGAGAGAAAAAGAGAGACTTGGACCCTCTGACCACTGCCTTTACTTAGAGAAGCTGTACTTTGATCCACTGTCTTTTACAGTGAATTGCTGTGTACATTTTTATTTAGGAGAAAATCAACTCTCAGTAATGAAAGGACTCACTGCTTTAAATGGTGGAAATGCTGTCCAATGGTCTCATTTCTGCCCTGCAGGAGAGCAGTTGAGAGAAATATCAGAAAGAACTCTACATTTATATTCAGAGTTGTACATAACCTTCTCTGTTTGGATACAAAACTAAACTTTTCACCTCTAGTTGCTTGATGTACTATCTACTGTCACAGGGCAATCTGCTGCTGAGAACCCAGTGATGAAAATGCCATGAAGGACTGCACCCGTTCTGGCTTTTTTCAGTGAATACATACTGTGCCTATGTGTGTGTGTGTGTGTGTGTGTCCACACACGCGCATGCATGCTCTGTTAGATCCAACTCTTGGCAGCCCCATGAAATGTAGCCTGCCAGACTAATCTGTTCATGGGATTCTCCAGGCAAGGCTACTCGAGTGGGTTGCCATTTCCTCCTCATGGGGATCTTCCCAACCCAAGGATTGAACTTGAGTCTCCTGTGTCTCCTGCATTGCAGGTGGAATTTTTTTACCCACTGAGCCATCTGGGGCGTTACATACCATGTGGGTGTTCCCTACTGCAGTCACGTGGGATATCCAGAGGAAGACTGAGGCATGACTCCAGCAGTGAAATAGCTACACTTGAATCAGAGTAAGGGTGGGGAATACAGGGAGTTCTAAAATTAGTTGTGATGCTTTAAAGGCATGAAATAGAAACCAAAATCTAAGCAAGGAAGAACTTTATAGATATCTAACAAAGAAGCAGAATTAAGGGAGCCACCCAGCCGGTTTATTCAGAAACTCAGTGCTGCAAGAAGACTTTTCCCCCTGCTCCTTTCTGACATCTGTTACAGGGCTGTCTTCCTTTGCAGACTTGCAGTGTTATCAGTGACCTTATATCTGGCAGGATATTGTCTAGTTCTTCAATACAGTAGCCACAAGCCAAGTGCAAGTATTTAATGAAAATTATATAAAGCTCAAAGTTCAGTTTCTCTGTGGCCACATTTCAAGGCTAAAGACTCACATGTGTCTGGTAGCCATCCTGTGGGGCAGAACAGGTATGGAACGTCTACACCCCTTTACAGGGATCTCCTGGATCACAGAATTTAGCAAAAATGACAATGATACTCCCGTGGCTCTTTATTAAGAGAGAAGACATTTTCCTGGGAACATCCAAGTAATTTTACCCACATGCATTCGGATGTTAGTTTGGATCAAAACCCTGAGAAGGCAATGGAATGACTGCTGGACCCATTAACGAACCACAGATGGAGACACCGTCCCTCCATCCCCGAGTCTGTTCTTCAGGCGAAAGGCTCGAGAAAGAAGCCGTGAGGGTCTCCTGTGATAAATTCTAGAAAACCTCGCAGCTGCCGGGAGGAACGCTCAGCCTAGAGGTGGTGGCATGGAATGGCCTGTTTGGCTTGTTGTGGACGTGGACCTGCGTGGATGTGCATCTGGGCAGACGTGGACCACAGCACAGGCGGATCTCCACGGGAGATGCTCTCCAATCTTCATTCCCCTGGCCTGCGCACGCACAGTCTCGCTCTCATGCAAGCCGTGGCAAATTCTGTCCTTCCCCGACTCCTCTGCCGCCTGGCCGGCTCCCCGAGAGGCACCCCTGAGCCGGGACTTTGGGGGTGCTGTGGTGGGGTGTACACAAGAACTGGGGTTTGCCAGACTCCTTGCAGACGTGTGTGGGACGAGGGCCTCTGGTACCCCGGCAGTGGCACCTCTCTTATCCCAGGACCCCGTGTGGGCCTCCTAGAACTACTGAGACCGCGGACGGCGCAGATCCGGGTCCCTCCCAGGAATCAGGGCCCAGCGCCCCCGGCCCGATGCAGGCAGGCCCGGGCCGCCTCTGTCGCCCAGTGCCTGCCAGCCCACTGGCTCCTGCGTCTCCATCAGGACCCCGCTTATTCGCTCCGCTCACATCCCAGGCCACGTGTTCCTCCACCGCCGCCGGGTCTGCTTTCCTGGAGATCTTCGCGCTCCACGCATCGGGACTGGGCCCCCACCTTGGCCGTGGGCATCCTTCACGCTGTTGGGAAGAACACAGGTGCAGGGGAAGGCGGGGCACGCTGCCAATGGACTCCGTTAGGAAGATGAGGAGCTGGCTCCAAGCAGGAGCATCCGCATCACCTTGACCCTCGGTGCTGCTTGTGGCCCGCGGAAGGCCAATCCCAAAGGCCGAGAGTTGTCAGGTGAGCTTCCAATCAAGAAAGTTTGATCTGAGAAGAATTTGAAGTAAAAAAAAAAAATAGGGCTAGGCTTCTGGAGAGTGAGTGTAAGGATATTTCAAGCATGGTTCTACTCTGTCGTTAAGTCGTTTCAGTCGTGTCCAACTCTTTGCAACGCCATGGACTGTAGCACACCAGGCTCCTTTTTCCATGGGATTCTCCAAGCTTTGTCCTTGGGATTCTCCAGGCAGGAGTACTGGAGCCAGTTGCCATTTTGTTTTTCAGCAGATCTCCCCGAATCAGGGATGGAACTGGTGACTCCTGCCTTGGCAGGTGGATTCTTTACCACCAAGCCACCTGGGAAGCTCTTTCTACTTTTTACGATCTGTTATGTATTTAGTTCTTAGCTTTACATCTATTCTGGTTTTCTAATTAAAATAGAAATCATGACTCAATTTGAAAAAAGGAGACATAAATGAGTTCTTAAGTGGAGAACCTGGCATTTTAGAATGGCTGATCTGGGGAGAAGAGCTGGCCTGGATCCTGGAGTGTCTAGAAGGAAAGTCACAGATGTGTTTTACATGAGTCTATTTCAAAACGCTGATGACAGTGATAAACACTGGATTTGTCCTTTTCACATATGCTTTCAATCTTAAGTGTCCTATCAAAATGACTTTTTAGAATCTTTTAATTATTTTTTAAGTTTTTTTTAACTGTTAATTTTATATTGGAGTACAGTTGATTGCCAAGAGAAATATCAATAACCTCAGATATGCAGATGACACCACCCTTATGGCAGAAAGTGAAGAGGAACTAAAAAGCCTCTTGATGAAAGTGAAAGAGGAGAGTGAAAAAGTTGGCTTAAAGCTTAACATTCAGAAAACTAAGATCATAGCATCTGGTCCCATCACCTCATGGGAAATAGATGGGGAGACAGTGGAAACGGTGGCAGAGTTTATTTTTTGGGGCTCCAAAATCACTGCAGAAGGTGACTGCAGCCATGAAACTGCAACACAGGCAGTTTCTGGGATGGAAATGCCCTGTCCTTCATTGCCTCCCTCATTGCTGTATCTTTTTAAGACCTAGCCCTGGCTTAGCATCCTCTGGGAAGTTGTAGCTGTTGGGATCACTATTATTCAATATCTAGTTTTCCTGTAAGTTCTCTTCCCCCCCGAAGGCCTTTCCTTTTTTATGTTGTTGAATTCAGGCACCACAAGACCATGTGACTTTGACCAAGAACTTGTGGGTGGCAGCAATGTGTGCCATTTCCCAACACAAGGCAACACAACCGTGTGTGTGAAATGCTGTTCCTTGTAGCCAGTGCCAAGTCTACAGCAGAATTCCAGGTAACAGCTGCTCCATCAGCCCCTCCTATTTGATGACCGCAGGGAACAGAGCCCCTGGCACCCTTGATAGACACTGGCATGAAAATCACTTTAAATTGTAAAGCCTCATTTAGGCTTCTTTGTTACTTCAGTATAATCCAGTCCATCTTGACTGATAGAAAAATATTCCAGGATTCTTTTAGTCTAGGGTTGATACTGAGTATCACATTTAACCAGTGTCTTAAACCAAGGCTCAGCAAACTGTTTCTGTAAAGGGCTGGATGGTAAATATTTTGGGCTTGGAGCCTTGCAGTCTCTGTTAAAACTATTCAGCTCCATGTAGCACAGAAGCAGTCACAGATAAAAAATAAAGGAATGAGTGTGATCCTGTGGCAATAAAACTATTTATGTGAACAGGCACTGAGTTGGATTTGGTCTTCATGCTGTAGTTTGATGACTGCTGTTTGAATTCATGAATCTGAAATCTGTAGCAAAAGTCTTTGATTTGCTTTTTAAGGATCAATTAAAATTTTCTTCTCATGTCTCTGTTTTGTTTTACTTACTAATCTGAATTTGAGGCTATGATTTTTAGTAAGAAAGTCAGGATAGATTTGAACTCAAGATATAGGGATTTGTGAAATCATACTAGGGGTTTGGAGAGAGTATTTGAAAATTAACTCCTAATGAGTAATGAAAGAAATGGCATTTATAAGCATGGATTTGAAAAGAACCAGTCTATAAATTATTTTACCTGCCACTTCTAAATAACTGATATTAGGAAGAGCCATATGAAATTGCTCTTCTGCAGAGAAGTATTGGGGCTTCCCTGGTGGCTCGGTGGTAAAGAATCTGCCTGCTAATACTGGAGATGCGGATTCAATCCCTGGGTCAAGAAGTTCCCCTGGAGAAGGGAATGGCATCCCACTCCAGTATTCTTGCCTGGAGAATCCCATGGACAGAGGAGCCTGGCGGGCTACAGTCCATGGGGTTGCAAAGAGTCAGAGTGACAAAACAACAACAGTGAAATACTGACAAGATCGTATGCCGTAACATTACTGATGGTCTCACACTGGGGTTTTTTAAATTATAGTTCCTATATGCAAGAACTTAGAGCCACACCAGCTTCTGAGGAGGGAGCTGACCTGGTTCACAGTTGATCCGCACTGGCGGGCAGGTGTATACATGATTTTACTGTATCTGTGAACTTCAGTGCCAGTCACTGTCTTAAAATCTCTAAGAGACATTTTAAAAAGTCCATATTAAAAAAAATAACAAAACAAGCACACTCTATGTGCTCATTTCTGTCTTTCTTGGTTTGTTTTCACAGGAAGGTGCATTTGTGAAGGGACTTTTCCTGGGTTCCATGCGGGTGAACACTTTCATTCTTTGGTGAAAGTGATGGAAGGGCCATGGTTACCAGGGCTAGGACGAGGGAAGAAGGATGGTGCATTCATACATTCTCCACACATTTTTCAGCCAAAGGGACTATTTCTTTTTCAGTGATTTCTAAAAATAAAAGTTAAAAAAAATGGTGAAGCATCTCTAACATCACATCAAATTGCAAATCATGACATAATATAATACAATATAGCTCATATTTTCTGTGGGGCAGAATGTTTATACCATGTTGCTTTCCCAGGATATTTATAGATTTCCTGAGAATGACTAATTGTTCTCTAAAACTATATTTTTAGTTGCCTTCTCTCCATCCTCGGGCTCTAGGAAATGTTAGACTGAAAAAACTGAGGCCTGTTGGTGGACTTCCATCTGTTGTTAGTGGTTTCATTACAAAAATGTGTGTAGCTCTAGAAGAAATTTTTTTAGAAAGAAGTCATTTCAGCCCCATGTCAATTGATAGCTTTGCAAGTTCCCCATCATAATTTATTTTATGTGAGATATACTTTTCTAGGAAAAAAAAAATCCCTTAGGCGCTTTACAAAACCTGTGTTAGGATATTATATGTATGAGAAGACTCTAAGAAAATAAACCTATGGACTGAAGCTAATGAATTATCTATGGGTTCAAGTCCAGATTTCCTGGGTTTACTTAAGAAGATGAATATATTCAGAGAAATAAATGCCATTACTGTTTCTTTGTCTGTTAACAAATGACATTACCAATAGATTTTATTTTATAAGATGTGCATATTGCTTTACCTAGGGTAGCTCAGGAACTATTAATAGTCAGAAATAATGTAAATTCCAGTAATGTATTTATGAAATATATTGATGCCGTCAGTCTTTATTTATTATACTGTGCTACGAAGTCTAGACAGAATAATAGTGCATTCTTTGTAGAGGCATGCATTTCAAAAATCATTGAATTTGCTGTAATGCCAGTCCCTGAGTCTCATTCATGAATTTTTTACAGTTGGTTTTACATTCCATCTATAGAGAAAAATAATTAGCAGCATTTTCCCCCCCAATTTGACTAGAACTTTGCCTTGGTCTGAAGAAGCAATCTTTAATTTGACCATGGAGCTTTGTCTTTTTCCTTCTTGCCTATTCCACACAATCCAACTTATCATGCAAATGTCAGCAATTTCAAATATTTTCCTCCTCAGCACACTTCATAGTGATACAGCTTGTGTCATTATCCAAACATCCATTTTAAAAATTCTAATTTGTTGCAGACCCTCATTTAGCCCCTGAATAAAAGCAGTACCTCTAACCCTGAAGTTTTATTGTTCATTAGCTTAAATTCGACCTGCTTTTCTTTCTTTTTTTATCCCCAAAGCCAGAGCTAAATAACCTAAATGTAAGGAATATCAGAGGTGAGTCTTGACAAAAACCTAAAAGGACTAACTGCCATAGAATGAGGAATCTATTAAATCTTCAAAGATCGCGTTTTATGCAGCCCGACCTCCTTTGCTCCAGGCAACTCCAAATATTCAGCATCAGCTGAGCCTCCGTTCTCCTTAGGCCTGCCTCCTCCCCTGGGCCTCCCAAAATGCAGCATGACGCTCCTTATCGCCAGCTCTGGGACTGATTCGGTGCGCACCACCACTCAGCAGGAGAATCTGTATTTAAATTATGGACTCTCCAATACTCAAGCATGTTTATTTTCCCTGCGCCTTGCTCTTGATCTTGTCCACAGGAAATTTTTTACGTGACAACCATCCGTTTACATATATGTGTGTGTGTGTGTGTGTGTGTGTGTGTGTGTGTGTGTATAAAAGGGCTTTGTACACACTTCTTTATCTTCTTCGCTGATGGCCTTATTTTCTTGGTGCTCTGTTTGTCTGCCCTGATATTTTTCTGCATGATAAGAAGGTTATCTGCCAAATGGCCCTAGAATAGAATAGACCTCCTTCCAAGTCCTGGCAGCTACTCTGTTTTAGGTGATCGTCTTTATTCATGTTAACTTTGCCAAAGAAAAGACACCATAGATGTCCATTAAATGGAATTGTTTTGAAGTGTGTTTATTCAAATATACAATCAGAACTACAGCCTTCCATCTCTGGGAAGAGGAAGAACTCTCCTTGAAGAAAAGCCCTACATTTTTCTGATGATGTATGGCTTTGAGGCCGGGTGACTTCCCTCAGGCCTGTCTCCGTAGCCTACCAGCTCTGGGCTTTGGGCAGAGTGTTTCCTGCAACCTCACTTCTCAGCCACAAAGCAGAGATATAAATATTGCCTTCTTTGCAGTATTGTATCGAGGATTGTATTGTATTGAGGATTAAATAAGCTAATAGGAGTGAAACTCTTAGTTCTCTGCCTGGCCCCTGTTTTTGCATTAGTGACTGTGTCTTAGTGCACTTTAGGAATCATTTAATATTTATTCGGTCTTGGATGTTTTGCTGTCATGACTGATGGGATGGCACTTTCATTGCATTTACCATTATTTAAGATGGCACGGATGCAACTGTCCAGTGGTTATAGACATTGAGTGATACCCAAGAAAAGTCTGAGTTACATTATTCAATGATATTGACAAACCATATCATCCCTTACAGTCAGTTTAAACACTGGGAACTGAATATCCATGCTCTTTCCGGGGCTGTTTTCCTGACAGGCATGTTGTATAGTTCTATTGGTACACCCACCTTGGGGGCTCTGATCCTTATCTATAAAGTTAAATATAAATGTGAACATACATATAAAAATGACATACAGGTATTTTAATGCCTTGTCCACCTGATATGAAGAGCCGACTCATTGGAAAAACCCCTGATGCTGGGGAAGAGAGAAGGCAGAAGGAGAAGAGGGCATCACCGGATGAGGTGGTTGGATGGCATCACCGACTCAGTGGACGTGAACCTTGGCAAACTCTGGGAGACAGTGAGGCGCAGGGAGAGGCCTGGCGTGCTGCAGTCCATGGGGTTGCAAAGACTTGGACACGACTTAGCGACTGAACAACAACAGATTTTTATCGTGCCTGTGTGTGATGACAGTATTACAATAATAGAAAAGTTTGATTCCATTACACCTTCACTTACAGAAGTGGGAAAAGAACATAGATCTCACAGAATGTTACAAAGCATTTAATACTGGAAAGATTTGCAGGAGCAAAGGACATCGTGGTATAAATACTGCAGGCATCGTGTTTTAGAAGTCAGAACCTGCAGAGGAACTAAGTTAAGTGTTGATGCCAGAACAAGGGGGCTGTGGCCAGCGCTCTCTGACCCTCCCGGCCTCACCCTGCCGCCCTCCCACTCGCCCATCACTCAGTTCCGTTTGCCCTCCACCCCACGGCCGGATCCTGTGAGTTCCTTCCCCTCCGACTCCTCCCCAGGACCAGCCGGCACCGTCTTGACCCAATCCCCCGAGTTCCTCACTACCGACTCCTCCCCAGGACGAGCCGCCGCCATCTTGACCCGAGCCGCCGCCATCTTGACTCGATCTCCCGAGTTCCTTCCCCACCGACTCCTCCCCAGGACCAGCCGCCTCCATCTTGAGCGTGGGTGACTGCTCTCTGGTCTCTCTGCTGGTGTGCAGGTTTCTTCTCCTCACGAACAGCCGTACCAGAGACGTCTTTTAAAGCCTGCAGTTGGAGCTTGACCCTCGCAAGGTCTTAGGCCTTGAATGGCTCCGAATTCCCCACCCAGTGAGGTCCCCGGTGCTCAGCGTGGCCGTGGGACCCCACCGGGCCCAGCCCTGCCTCCTGGCCAGCATCGTCCTCCCGCTCTGTTCCCTCAGCTGCACAGGTTTTCTCTGCGTGGGCCGTGGCCGGCTCTCCACAGGGCTGCCCAGTCAGCGCCTCCCTGCCTTTAATCTCAGGATGCTCCCTGCTAACGGCTGCTGGCCTTTCCTGTCGCCACTGGCCCTGCCTCACCCAGACCTGCTACTTGGCCTCAGACTGGCCTGCTCTTCTGCTCTTGAAATGCTCACCCCACTTACAACCACTGGCTCCCGTTTACCCAGGAGAATGTGAGCCCAGAGCTCAGAACAGGCCTTGCAGACACCAGCCCCAGGTTCAGCCGAGATCTGACTAGTAATTTGTAATGCTTGTTGAATGAATAAAGAAAGAAATTAGGAAAGTCTAGGTAATTTCCTGACATCCAACTATGGTTTCATAAGACAGCCTGTGGAACTAATCTAAAATGGGGCCCGGATAATGCCAGACCTACTCAGTTAAGTGAGAGTTTGAAACATCTTTAATGACTACCTGACCACTGGAGGATAGAACGGAATGGTGGAAAGCTGTCATCACCACTGGAATGCTGGGTTCAAATCCCACGTGTGCCACTTGGATGTGTCCTTGCGTTAACTACTGACTTCTCTGCATTGCTTCCATTTCATCTCTCAGATAGTTGTGGAAATATGTTAGTAAAAATGTGTAAATCTCTATGCGTCATACTACACATGCATGCATGCTCAGTTGCTCAATCATATCCGACTCTTTGCCATCCTATGGATTGTAGTCTGCCAAGCATCTCAGTCCATGCAGTTTCCCAAGAAGGAATACTGGAGTGGGTTGCATGTCCTCCAGGGGATCTTCCCAGTCCAGGGATCAAACCCACCTCTCCTACATTGCAGGCAGACTTTTTTTTTTTTTTTTTTTAACCATTGTGCTACCAGGGAAGCTCCACTGAATTGTATAGAGACAGGCTCTCAGGCACATCCTGACTGCCCAGGACAGATTCCCCATCAGGGCAACGCCAGGGGAACAGCTGAAGAGAGAAGCCAAACTTTTGGATAGAATGCTTGACAACCTGTCGGTATCTGAGAAATCTTTCATTTTGCATAAACAGAAATGTCTGTGTACACCAATTTTCATACATCTTGGTAACAAATTTCTATTCTACCACATTAAGAACTCAATATAATTTTTTCTTGGGTAAGTTGACAGGAGCTTAACAAAAATCACATTGAGTAATGGGTTCTGGGTTTTCTAAAGAACATGCCTTCATCAAGACCTTCAATATGTTTCAAAAATTAATCAAATGAAATTATTAATTTTTCCCCTTTACCCACCACAGACCACTTTATGGAGGAGTTAATCCATTGGTATGCTACCAAAGGGAAGACATATTTTCCAAGGTAAATTTGCTCTTGAGAAATAATCAGGCTGCTTTGGATGAATTGTGAAGTCTCTATATTTCAAAGAAATAGCATTTACAGTACAGAATTATAATTGGCTATTTCTGTCAGACTGAAAAAAGACCCTACCCCTGTCAGTAATTAATTTAGATATATAGTGATTCTAAAATCTCTCATCTTTTAAATTAACTGCATATTAGCACATTTTGGTCAATGAGTTTATTTTTCTTTTTATTCTCAGAGATGCATTAAGTAAGAGAGAAGAGCTTTTAAACAGACTTAATTAACAGCCAGAAATGACGTGATTTATTTTTGTGAATTCTACATATGGTTGTGGTTCTTCCTGTGCCATATTTTGAATACATTAAAAATATTTTTTACATTATGATGCTCTATAAAAGTATCTGCAACAGCTCTGGGAAAAACAGCTATTATATCCTTAGAAAGATAAAATGATCCTCATTCCTCTGGGAGTTTAACACTAAAGAGCTTTATAAGCTGTAGAGTATGGGGACTGAAATCATTTTCCTTTGTTTTCTTTTGTGTTTCTAATTAAGCACCATAAAAATGCAGAGAAGAGCAGACATGGGAAGTAACAAAAGTAAAAATCTTGTTTATCTTCTCTGGTCTTCAAATTTATACTGACCCATTTGACTTAAGAGTAAATAAGCCAGGCAAGACCACTCTCTGTATATATATATATATATATATATATATATAAAACAATGATATATGTGTCTATCTATGATATGTTTGTATGTTAATGTAAATACATTTAATAAATTTAATATTTACATATATTATATAATTAATATACCTATGTGATTTTTGTTAAACTCTTGACAACTTTCCGAGAAAAATTATTTTGAGCTGTTAATCTGTTGGTATAAAAGTTTATCAGAAACATGTATGGAAATAGGTGTGCATGCACATTTCTGTTAGGCAAAATTTAGGCAAAATGTATAAACATGTATATATATATACACACACAAGCATATTTGATCTGCAAATGTACATGTACATTTAGAATTGCTATTTTGGGGGCTGATACAAGACTTACTATTTCTCTGGATTAGTGCTATACATAATTTAAAATCAAACAATATAGATTTACTAGTGATGATATTTTAAAACAAACTTTTGGATGACTGAAAAAGTGGACTGATTCTGTGACTCAGCTATTACCATGGCAACTCCAGGGTTCAGAGGTCATCTCGTCATGGTCATTAGGCGGTCTCACGTGACGCTTGAATGACATAGTCCTCCTTTTCTCAGGGATATTAAATAGAACCTATTAATAAAATGGAAAATGAGGAGAGTTAGATACAGTGTTCTGATAAGGTTCAGTAGACCCAAGAGTAGGCATCATTAGTTGTATATCCAGTCTGAATCTCCCACTAAAACTGGAGTTGTTTTAGGTACAGTAGGAGTTCATTTCCCCTTGTTTTTGGAAAGGTATACATTAGCCTCCTCAGAAGTGAAGGAGGCTTGTTGGTTCCTTTAAACAATTTTACAAATCATTTCTTGTTCATAGCTTTTACTAATGAAAGTAAATATATTGCCCTGCTCATCCAACCCAAATATTCCTGCATTAGAAGGGGCAAGGGATAAGCATTAATACCTCCTTTTGAGTAAGAGGGTGGACACACACACACACACACACACACACAGAACTAGGATGCTTTGGCAATGCTTCCTGGGCATTTTAAGGAACAAAGACCGTAATGACAAATGTTCTGTCTCATAAATATGGGCACTTTGTTTAAGGAGAATTAAACAACAACAACAACAACAACAACCACCTCTTAATATTTCCCTTACATTTTTATTGACTTATAATATCATATTAATTTCACAGTGTGGTGATTCAGTATTTTCACAGATTATATGCCATTAAAAGTTATAACAAAATAATGGCTATAGTTCCCTGATCTGTATGGTATATCCCCATTGCTTATCTGTTGTAGACATAGTAGTTGAAAATCAAGCCTGAATATTCACTGGAAGGACTGGTGCTGAAGCTTCGATACTTTGGCCACCTGATGCAAAGAGTCAACTCATTGGAAAAGACCCTGATGCTGGGAAAGATTGAATGCGGGAGGAGAAGGGCACAGCAGATTGCGATGGCTGGATGGAATCATCGACTCAATGGACATGAGTTTGAGCAAGATCCAGGAGATAGCGAAGGACAGGGGAGCCTGGTGTACGCCCATTCATGGGATCGCAAAGAGTCGGACACAACTGAGCAACTGAACAACAACAATCTCTTAATCACATAAACTTAACTTCCCTTCCCACCTTCTGTCACCCCACTGGTAACCACTAGGGTGTTTTCTGTATCTCTGAGTCTGTTTTGCTCTACACACTTGCTTATTTTTTAGATTTCATTTACAAGTGATCTCATACTGTGTGTGTCTTTCTCTGTCTGACTTGCTTCAGTTGGCCTAGTATTGCCTGGCTGCATCCATGTTGTTGCAGATGGCAGAATCTCTTTCTTTTGTACGGCAGAATGTGCAGACTTGTATTTCATAAGTTGTGGGAATCTGCAGGCGTACCTTTTGACTGCTTCTGTTTTCTAACTGAAACGCCAATCAGGATCATCAACGCAGAATGAGAGGAGAAGGAGGTTTTGGACACTTGAGAGAAGACAAGGTAAGAAAAGAGACACGTGATGCAGAAAGAGTGAGACTCTAGGAAGACTCAGTGCCCTGATGGTTTCCAGGGGGTTTAAGGACCCATGTACAGATAGTGACAGTGAACTTAAGGTGAGACTTAGCAGTATGAATCGTTCCTCCATTCGTAATTAGCTCCATAAATGCTTGTACACATATAATAAGGGAGGAGGCAGAGAGTGCATAAAATCCACTGCAAAACGGGATTTTATGGGTTAATGCAGTGGAGTGAGAGGAAGATAGAGACTATGTGAAAGGGAGTGGTTATCTCCATGGGCCATGGCAATTGTTCTGAATTAAAGGAGGCATGAGGTCGAGAGGGAGAGAGTAAAAATAAAGAGGAATTGATGAGTTGTGGGTTCCCGTGAGGTCAAAGGGAGCCAGGGTTCTAGTAGGTGGTATTTGAAGAGAAGGATCTTTGATCCTTGGTGGTGAACAGATGTGTGAAATGGCTGTGGAAGTAATGGGGGGTTGCATGAGGACAAGCTCATTGGAGGAGAGGATTCTCAAGATCTGAGAGGCAAGGTGATTGGAAAGGATCATCTGACAAATATTAAAAGCACGGAGTCACTGGCAGGAGGAGAAGTGGTCAGTAACAGCAACAGGAAGCAGGAGAAAGAGTCTAGCCCCACATTCCAGGCTGGACCTCTAGGGAGGGAGACTTCTCTATCTGGTTT